TATGCTGAGGATGTAGCTTTTTTGGTATTTATCCTGCTTGGTGTTCTCTGAGCTTCCTGGCTCTGTGGCTTGGTGTCTGACATTAATTTGGGGAAATTCTCAGTCATTATTGTTTCAGATGTTTCTTCTGTTCCTTTCTCTCTTCTCCTTCTGGTGTTCCCATTATGTGTGCGTGACACCTTTTGTGGTTGTCCACAGTCCTTAGGTACTCTGTTCTGGTTTTCTCAGTCTGTTCTCCTGGATTTTTAGTTTTGGAGGTTTCCGTTGAGATGTCCTCCAGCTCAGAGGTCCTTTCCTTGGCCGTGTCCAGTCTGACGAGCCCATCAGAGGCACTCGTCATTTCTGTGACAGTGCTTCTCATCTCTAGCCTTTCCTTCTGGTTCTTTTAGGACTTCCATCTCTCTGCTCACATTGCTCCTGTGTTCTAGCATGCCGTCTGCTTTTTCCATTAGAGCCCTTAGCATAGTAATCATAGTTAAGTTCCCGGTCTGATAATTCCACACCCCTGTCTTGTCTGGTTCTGATGCTCGCTGTCTCTTCAGACTGTGTTTCTTGCCTTTTGTGTGCCTCATGATGTTTTCTTGGTAGACATGATGTACTGGGTCCGAAAACTACCTTGCATTTTTGTCACCATCTCTCTTCAAAACCAGTTCCTAATGTCACACCTCTTTAGAGCAGAATAGCAGTAAGAATTAAAAATCCTTTCTGTTGGGTCCGTGCCTCTACCAGTTGCAGTTTACAATGTTTCATCCACCTCTTGTGTAGACATCAGCTCCACACATGCACATACGTGCATGTGTGCATTTATGCAAGTACGTGCATGCACACTCACGTGTACACACAACACTGACACATGTAATGAACACACACGTGAGTGCACATGCACACTTACATATACCCATGTGCACAAGAGCACATGTGTATTCCCCATGGAATACCCGTGGGGTATTCCCCCAGAGCTGCAGCCTGAACAGTGAGACCCCCGTGGTCTCTCTGGGATGTGCTCTCATTGAAGCTCTTGTGACTCAACTGTAGAAATTTCTATAATAACCAAGTGCTCTTCTTTTTAATTCTAGTTACGCAAAGGGGGATTTGGACATATCTTACATCACATCCAGAATTGCAGGTACGTTTGCCAACTTTGCCATAAGGACACACTATATGCTTCTGTCACCATAAGGACAACTCTAACCGTAAGGCCACACTTCTGATTCTTCCATCTGAGGACGGCTCCTGGGACACTGGCCTCAAGTACATCCCTTGCTGCAGTGTGAGGCAGGCTGCAAAGGGTGTGGCCTCTTGGGCAGCCACTTGCTCACCCAAGGTGTGGCCTGGGGCACCCATCCCTGTGTCCACTGTGCCTCCAGGCCCTGCGGTGGACAGTGCCAGTGTCAACCAAGCTTCTCCCCCTAGTCTGGAGCTTTCTGGAACTCAGGTTGTGAGGGGAATGATGCAAAGCCATGCACATTTAAAACTTGGGTCTCCAGGCAAAAAACCAAAACCAAAATCCAGACATTTGGAGACCCTGTGTGCATCAGGCTCTCTAGCAGAACCTGCTGTCTGGAAGGCACCGTCTGGAGGTCCCAGAGGGTCTTCCTTGTGAGTGGCTGACAGGCAGTGCGGGGTCTGTGCTCCATGCCTTCTCAGCCCCCGCTGTACTGATGGGTCAGTGGCTGTGGGAGCACAAGGAGCAGGGACCTAAGTGTGGCCGAGTGTCAGGCCAGTGGGTGCTGAGGCTGCAGGAGGAGGCCCCACCCCATCAGGCTCCAGGAGCAGGGCAGCATGGCGCTGACATGGGCTGCCCTCTTTCAGTGATGTCCTTCCCAGCGGAGGGTGTGGAGTCGGCCATCAAAAACAACATAGAGGACGTGCGGCTGTTTCTGGACTCCAAGCACCCGGGACATTACACGGTCTACAACTTGTCCCCGAGGACATACCGGCCCTCCAAGTTTCATAGCCGGGTGAGCGGCTGCGCTTTTGCCTCTCGCTGCAGCAGGTTTCTGAATGTCGGTCTTTGGCCAACTGTGGTGCTAGATGGACCTGTGACGTCCCCGGGCAGTGGCAGTGAGCTGGGGCTCTGACAGTGGGGGCTCAGGGTTGTGGTGACATGGGGTGCCTGGGGTCCCCTGCAGCAGCTGGCAGGGCTGCATAAACTGGGAAGAGAAGGTCAGGTGGGTGTTGTTACGTCACCTAAGGGCGCTGAAACCACAGTGACTCATTGCTGCTTGCCCGTGAGAGAGCATGAGGCCGCACAATGTTCTTGGTAAATAAACATTTGGACATGGTCAGTGTTTACAGTATTTGAACAGACCCCAAGTATGGGAAAAGGCAGCATCTGAGTTCTCCTCGCCAAGTCTGCCGTAGCCTATAGCACCAATCCTGCCCACAAAGGAGCTCAGGCGCCGGGCCAGGGACTATGGACGCCCGTGGGCAGGGGGAGGGAGGTGTGGGGTGGCCCCTGCCAAGTGTGTGCACCTGGCTGGCACAGGGATCCCAGTGAGCTGAGCCCTCTCCCTGCAGGTCTCCGAGTGCGGCTGGGCAGCCAGGCGGGCCCCAAGCCTTCACAGCCTGTACAGCATTTGTAGGAACATGCACTCCTGGCTCCGGCAAGATCACAAGAACGTCTGCGTTGTGCACTGCATGGTGAGTGTGGTGCTGCTCCCACCAGCGGTGTGGAAGGGCGTGAGTTGGCCCTGCCCTTCACCTCAGGGACGCGGCAGAGAAGAGCATGAACCAGGGACAACCCCTGCCCAGGGGAAGCTTACAGCCGGCGGAGGGGACAGAGGACGGAGTGGGATCCAGGGTGCCAGCGGTGACGGTGCCAAGCAGGAAGGCCAGGCGGGGCGGCTGGTGTCCTGAGCGGTGATGCTGGGCTTGGCCCCCTGCTGGGAAGAGGAGCTGAGCTGACCTCCAGGCAGGGTGCTGATGCCCCCATGATTACAGGCCTTTCCTGGACACTGGATGAGGTACCAGGGCGGGACGTAGAGCACCCGTGTGAGGCTGGATGCCACGGTGACGGCTGCTCCCTTGAGGCTCCTTATTGAGCTGCGGCATTCTGTCTGAGAGCCGGGATCTGATTGGGAGGCGCTGGGCTAGTGCACGGACTCGTGGCAGGTCCCGGGGGGGTGCAGGTTCTGCCCTGGTGTCCGCAGCAAGTGGCTCTGGGCCTGGCTGTGCCCCCAGTACAGCTCCTGTCATTTCAAGGTAGCAAACCCCAGAGGGAGCAGCGACTGCTGCCAGTTGGACTAGTGCCCCAGCCTCACGGGATCCACCCTGCTGGGGAGTAAAGGCCCTGCGCCCTCTGAGTGCACACCTGGGTCCCTTGGCATCAAGTGCTTCTCAGGAAAGAGTGCCCACACAGCGGTCACCGTTCCCCTCTTTATGGAGCGTACGAGGTCCCCATGTAGCATTCTCTCATCTCCCTGCCAGGCAGCACCCACATGGGCCTTGACAACCCAGGGCTGAGGCCACTCTGCCTCGTGGGACCCCGTCTCAGCCTGTCCTTACTGGCTGAGGACAAGCCTTGTTTCCAGTTCCCCAGATGCACAGCAGGCTTAGGTTTGTGGGTGTTTGACACAGTGGGGTACCTGCCAGGACGCGCACGCGAAGGTTAGCGCTGCTGCTCTGGTGTCAATAAAAGTCACACCAGGAGCAGCGATGACTAGGGTTCAGTGTGGGGTGAGCACGGAGGGGATGGAGGGTGAGTGTGAGGTCTGGGTGGGACTGTAACTGTGAGTAGTGACCAGTGGGAGGGGCCGGCTGCCTTGTGCTTTCTGTGGAGGAAGCTTTGTTCTTGTCAGACTCTGGGTTCTTACCTCATTGGGCGTGTTTCTGTTAGTTTCCAAACATGCTCCAGACCCAAGAGGGAGGCCTGGGCATGTTCCCTAGGGGGCTGTGGGTTAGGAAGCCCACTGTCCCCCGACTGCAGCCGTGTCAGCTGCCCTGTGCCCTTTGTCCTAGGACGGGAGAGCCGCGTCTGCTGTGGCCGTCTGCTCCTTCCTGTGCTTCTGCCGGCTCTTCAGCACTGCTGAGGCCGCCGTGTACATGTTCAGTATGAAGCGCTGCCCACCGGGCATCTGGCCGTCCCATAAAAGGTACTGTGTGTCCTGCTTCAGAATGTGGCATTGCCTGTGGCTGGGTCATAGCCGTGGGCACTGGGAGGTAGAAAGGGTTTCAAGAAGGGATGCGGGTTGTGTGCCGTTCGGGTGAAGCACGGGCCTGGCAGGTGTGGCTCAGCCCGTGTGCTGCCCACAGGGACCTGCCAGGGGGACTTGATGGTCCTGCTGTGCAGACAAGGAAGTTCCAGGCTGATTGCAGTCAGGGTGGGCTAGGATTTGAGCCCTGCTGGGGCTCCTGAGCCGGCGCGGGGGTTGTGGGGGGGCGGGGGGGCGTGCTTCTCCCTGGTTCCCGGGCACCAGCTTTTCCAGCAAGTGTGGCCGTGAGCCCAGTCTGAGCCCAGCATGGCTACTTGCTCACTGGGCAAGGGGGACAGTGCCTCTTGTGGCATGTGGGCGTGCTGCCTGCACAGAGCCCCATTGCTGTGGACTTGCTGGTTTTGTTTGGGTGGGTGACGTCTGTGAACTGTGCGATGCTGCACAGGTGGAGTGGAGGTATCCTCTCTGCTGTGGGGGCATGCTGTTGGGGTCCTGGGAGACACTCAGGTTTTTATGCTGCTCTGTGTCAGCACGAGGGATTCTCTTTACCTGAAAAAGGAAATGGTTTCTTGTGGCTGCGGCTGGCCCTGCCCGCTCTGCTCTCCTCCTTTCCCTCGGGGACTGCACCCTTCACCAACTGACCTTTCGTGTCACTTTCCCCACTTTGGTCCACCCCCTGCAGCAAGAGTGGCCTTTCTGATGCTCAGGTCTGAGGAGTTGCTTCCCAGCTCACAGCCTCTCCATGGGCACTGTGGGGGAAACACTTCCTTCCTCTGCAGGAGTGGGCCTTTGTGTGGACAGTGCAGACCCCGAGAGTGGGGGGGAACCGGAGCCCACCTTGGTCCTGCCGCCTCCCTCGCTCCTGCTTCACTGAGAAGAAAGGAAAGGCATCCAGGCCAGCAAGGGGTCGTTATGGGTCATTCCTTCTGATCGGGGAAAGGGGGAGTTGGTGCCGCTCCTACATGGGGGACCCCACCTTGTTGGCTGGCTGCCTGGGGGCAGTGTTGTGTCCCTTGGCCGCCCCAAGAGAGTCAGCCACACAGTTGTGTCTTCTTCGTGGCTCAGGGGTGCAGTCCTGTCACTCATGCAGAGAGGCTGCAAAGTGGGGGCTGGGCCACCAAGCACCAGTCATGGACCACAGACCCCCTTAACATGCTGACCAAAAGCCATTTTTGCTCCCACGTTCCAAATACATCAGGGGTTCCTGAATTGTTCCTATTGCTGTAGGGTCGCACTTAGCAGCCACTCACAGCCAGGGTCAGAGCCAGGAAGAGTGTTGTCGGTGTCGTCTGCCTGGCTCTGGGGCCCCCACCAGAACTCTGAACCCCATGGCTGCTTTCTTGGAGATGTGCAGATGTGTGGAGCATTGTTCCCACCCTAACAACCTAGAACAATAGCAGGACCAACGTCAAACGCGTGACTTTCTCAAAGCTGTTGGAGAACAGCGGTCATCAGGGCAGTCGCCTGGTCCCAAATCTGAGGAGAGACAGGCACCTGCAGGGAGAGAGGATGCGAGCGCTCGCTTGCCCACTAGCTGTACCATAGTGCCAACAAGAGGGACCAGCAGGACAGTCAACGAGGCCCAGTGCGCAGAAGCGGGCGAGGCCACAGAAATTGAGAGAGAACGCCCCCGTGAGCCCTCGCTGGGCGCTCACAGAATAGGTTGGACAGGGAGAGCTAGCTGCTCTGGGAGGGGCACCGAGTTTGGGTCCCAGTGGAACCAGAAGGAGACAAAGCAGTCTCCAGGACAAGACTAGAATTATCTGACAGAAAATTTAAAATAACCGATTAATGTGTTGGAGACTGATAGAAGGTGGACAGGATGCATGGGCAGGGGGTCAGTCGCTTCAGCAGAGATGGACACCATGAGAGAGAACCGACTGGAGATACTGACGTGAGGATGCGCAGCAGTGGGAAAGACTGCCTTGCGCAAGCCCGCCGGGAGCTGAGGAGGGGACCACTCTGTGGAGCTGGTCAGGAGACGTTACTCCAGTGGGGATTCAGGGGAAAAGTCCCTGAGAAGGACCAGAGCAGCCAGACTGCGAGACTGTCTCCGACAGTCTGACGAGCACGTGCTTGGAGCCCTGGAGAAGGAGACACGCAGGGAAGAGAAACACTGAAGACACAGTCGCTGCAGGTTCCCCCAGCTCAGTGACAGACACCAGACCCCAGCAGCCACGAGGACACCAAGCAGGGTTAACACACACACAGAAAACCCACTGAGCGTCCCGTATTCACACTGCTGGAAACCACACGAAGAGAAAGTCAAAGATGCAAATTACAGCAAAGTTCTCATCAGAAACCCCAGTGCAACCCGTAGGGTTTGTTTTGTTTTGTTTTGTTTTTTGCTGAAGATTAGCCCTGAGCTAACATCTGTGCTCATCTTCCTCTGTTTTGTATATGGGACACCTGCCACAGCATGGCTTGGTGAGCGATGTGTAGATCCGCACCTGGGATCCGAACCCGCAAACCCTGGGCCACCAAAGCGGAGCATGTGAACTTAACCACTACGCCACTGGGCTGGCCCCCACATAGGGGTTTTTTTAAAGTGCTATAATTAGTAAGTTAATAGAGGAAATAAAATGAAAGCATAAACATGCTCAGTTAATCCAAGAGAAGACCAAAAAGAGGAAGCCACGAACAGACGCAGCAAAGAGGAAACAGCCGGCAGGGAGGTACACTTAACACGGCCACGTCTGTCTTCCTCCCTGCCCGTGCAGGTCTGCAGCCCTGGCTGAGACGGGGTGCGGTCCCCGAGCCCGCGTCAGTCCTCTCCTCACTGCCCGTGGGCGGTCTGCAGCCCCGGCTGAGACGGGGTGCGGTCCCTGGACCCTACCGTAACAGGCGGAGATGGACCCGGTGGTGCTGGAGGCAGACTGGGTTAGTTGCCGCTTGCTGCAGGACGGAGGCTTCAGGCGGCCCATGTCTCTTCGCTCCGTCTCTGTGGGTCAGGGGCCCAGGCTGGCTCCGCACTGGGCTCAGTCGGGGTGCAGCCCGGTTGCGTTCTTGTATGAACCTTGGCTCTGAGAAGGTCCATGTTTCCTTTGTGTTTAAATCTGCTTCCAAGCTGGCTCAGGTTGTTGGCAGGATTCATTAGCTGTGGATGCAGGTCTTTCCATGCTGGCTTCTTGCTGACTGTCGGCGAGAGACGCCCGCAGTTTCCTGCCACACGGGCTGCGCCAACACGGCCATTGGGGAGAGCACTGAGAGCAAGTCAGCTAGCGAGATGCTGTGTATGGCGTCTGCTCAGCCGCGACCTCCCTCCCCTTCTGGTGGTTAGAAGCGGGTCGTTGCTCCTGCCCAGGCTCAAGGAGAGGGGGTTATGCAAGGACAGGTGGCAGACGCCCTCAAGCGCATGCCGCAGAGGAGCGGTGGAAACACTCACCAGAGGAAGCGGGAGCAGTGATACCATGTTACAGTAGACTCCAGGTTTATTGGGTGAAACCTGACCATTGAAAGCAGAGATAGACCAATCAGGATTATAGTGTCGACTAACCTTCCCCTCTCAGTAATTGCCGGACCGGTGGACAGAAGGTCAGTTCAGAGCTGAACCCACCACCAGCCGGCTAACCCTGACTGACATCTGTAGAACATTCCACCCAACAACGGAAAAGACACGTTCCTTCCCACTGCACACACAACATTCAGTAAGAAAGATCATGTTCTGGGCCCTTAGACCACAACAAATTTAAAAGATTAGAAATTGTACAAAATAGCTTCATGGGCCATCATAGAATATAAACTAGAGATTGATAACAGAAAGAAGACTGGGAAGAGCCTGAAATATTTCAGATAAAACAATCTGCTCCTAAATAACCCACGAGTCAGAGAGGAAACCTCAAGGGAAATTTAAAGATGTTTTAAACTGAATGAAAATTATAACATCAGGTTTGTAAGATGAAACTAGAACGTTGCCTCAAGGGACGTTTATAGCATTAAATACTTATATCTGGTGTGCTGATGGGCTCCAGGGACTCAGAGCACACATGTGACGTGACACGTGGACTACACTGAATGCATGTGTGACGAGGCACGTGGACCATGCACAGCACAGAGTGTGTATGTGACACGGCATGTGGACTCTGCACAGAGCATGCGTGTGATGTGGTGTGTGGACTGTGAACAGAACACATGTGTGACATGGTGTGTGGGGTAAGCACAGCACGCACGTGATGTGGCATGTGGACTATGCACAGAATGCATATGTGGCACGGCATGTGGACTTCACACAGAGCATGTGTGTGATGTGGCATGTGGACTGTGAAAGGAACACGTGTGATGTGGCTTGTGGACTATGCACAGAGCATGCATGTGATGTGGTGTGTGGACTGTGAACAGAACAGGTGTGTGACATGGTGTGTGGGGTAAGCACAACATGCACGTGATGTGGCATGTGGACTATGCACAGAAAGCATGTGTGACATGGCACGTGGGCTATGCACGGAGCACTCATGTGATGTGTGTGGACTGTGAACAGAATGCATGTGTGACATGGTGTGTGGGCTAAGCACAGCACGCACGTGATGTGGTCTGTGGACTATGCACAGAACGCATGTGTGGCACAGCATATGGACTATGCACAGAGCATGTGTGTAATGTGGCATGTGGACTATGCACAGAATGCATATGTGGCACGGCATGTGGACTTCACACAGAGCATGTGTGTGATGTGTGTGGACTGTGAACAGAACGTGCATGTGACATGGTGTGTGGAGTAAGCACGGAGCATGTGTGTGATGTGGTGTGTGGACTGTGAACAGAATGCATATGTGACACGACCTGTGAACTTTTCATAGAGCACGTGTATGACATGGCGTGTGGACTAGGCACAGAGCATGTGTGTGATATGGCATGTGGACTGTGAACCGAATGCATATGTGACACGGCATGTGGACTTTTCACAGAGCACGTGTGTGATGTGGCATGTGGACTGTGAATAGAATGCATAGGTGACACGGCATGTGGACTTTACACGGAGCATTGTGTGATGTGGTGTGTGGACTGGGCACAGAAAGCATATGTGACACGGCATGTGGACTATGCACAGAGCACGTGTGTGACATGGTGTGCCTCCTGCCCCTCCAGGTACATCGAGTACATGTGCGACATGGTGGCGGAGGAGCCCATCACTCCCCACAGCAAGCCCATCCTGGTGAAGGCTGTCGTCATGACGCCAGTGCCGCTGTTCAGCAAGCAGAGGAACGGCTGCAGGCCCTTCTGCGAGGTGTATGTGGGGGACGAGCGTGTGACCACCACGTCCCAGGAGTACGACAAGATGAGGTGAGCTCCGAGTCCAGGGCCTTCCTCGCTCTGTGACCATCAAGTGTATTCATTCTCATCCTATGGAAAGTCATTGCTGGGAAGTGGCCAAGGCCCCGCCTCAGTTGAGGCCGTGAGCAACGAGCAGGCTCTGCGAGCTGATCCCAGGCCTGCGGGTGGCGTGTGTGGGAGGTTCCCACCTCTTCCTGCTAAGGATTGGCTTCTGAGACTATTTCCTGGAGCAAACCTCACCCCACCTCCCATCCCCCACCTGGAAGTAATTTGGTAGCAAAACCGGGAAGATAAGAACAGGTGGATTTAAGTGTTGATGCTTTGGAGGTTCTCAGCATTCCTGCGCTTTCAAGGTTAATCTTTACTAGAACTTGATGTTTTTGACCTAAGTGAACAATTTCTCATCATTCTCTTCTTTAGGGATTTTAAAATCGAGGATGGCAGAGCAGTCATTCCCCTGGGCATAACAGTCCAAGGAGACGTGCTCATTATAATCTATCACGCAAGGTCCACCCTGGGAGGAAGGCTGCAGGCCAAGGTGAGCGAGCGCTCCCGGGGTTCTGTGTTCTCGTGGAAGGTCCTCAAGCTTGGTGGTCAATGAGAGCTTGAAGCCCTCACTTGGTAACTGTCTTTTTGAGTCCCCACTTCGTGTAGCGCAAGGCAGAGGGGATATTAGCCTGAAATGCCTGGAGTTTCCCCCACATTACAGGACTGCCGTCCATGCAGTCTGCTGGGATATGGCCTTGGGCTGCCCCCCCATAGACCCCAAGAAGCCCCTTGTCGGAGAGGGTGCCATCCCGCCATCTCTGCATCTCCAGCACTTGGGGCCGTGCTCGAGGCTCTCAGAGCTTGTTAACTGTGAGATGTATATGACGTGAGGGTCTGGTGGCGCCCTCCCCAGCTTAAGGATCTCCTGTTGCTTTCTCTCTGCAGATGGCATCCATGAAGATGTTCCAGATCCAGTTCCACACTGGATTTGTGCCTCGGAACGCAACTAGTGTGAAATTTGCAAAGTATGTTGGTGTCACACCGTGGGAGAGGGACTGGGGGGCTCAGACTGCGAACACCCACCAGCCATGTCCATGTGCCCACGAATGCAGCACAGCTGCACTCGCAGAGCGATGTGATTGACACGTGGCCAGTTTGCAGTGTTGGACTTTAATCTTGAGTCTGTCCCCAGAACCAGGTGTGTTTGGTTTCCAAGACACCGTCCTGGGTTGGACCGTGGTGGCTGCCATGTGCAGCTCAATGACTGGGGACTGACCCAGTCATTTCTTGTTAGAATGGAGCCTCTTACGCGCTGGATGGGGTGAAACCAGAGGGATGAGTGTCCCTGCATTGCAACACGTTCATTCAGTGCTGCTTATATGCAGAGTGCTCTGCTGGGCACAGAGATCAGAGACGGTTAAGAGAAGCTCCCAGTCTGGCTTTAGAGACAAGGATGTAAATAAATATGACTGAGGAATAGTCTTTTTGTCTTATCCGGCACTTGTTATTAGTTTACTGTACTCTTCAGGTACATTAACTTGTTGAAATTGCATGTATCAGAGGACTGACAGCGTATACCAGGCCCCCCGGTAAACAGTGGGTTTCATTCAGCTTATGTTCTGGATGGAGACGCTCAGGCTCAAGGCAGCTGGACTGACTAACCTCGTATGCAGCAGAGCAGGCTTCTGCACATGGGGATTTGGATTCCAGCTGGTCATCTTTCTACTCAGTCTCCCATGCACAGTCATATGTGCCTACTGCCCAAAACCTGGTGTTGTTCCAGGAGCAAGAGGGGAGCTTCGTGGAGAGCATCTAGAAACAGCTGCCTGCGGCTACTCCGGACCTCTGTGTTCCAAACTCAGTGCCCGTTTCCTACCCAGTAGACAAAGGGAAATGTTAGAACCCGACCCACAAGGTACTGGGAGGTCTGTAGCACTGACGCCCCCGGGTCCCGGAGGACTCAACTGTGACCCCAGGGCGCTGCAGACTCAGTGCTCCATGCAGATGACATGCCACACGGGGGCCTGTGCGTGGTGAGGGCTCAGGGAGAGTGGTGCCTGCTTCCCTCGTGGCCATCGGCCTCTGAGGGTGCACATCTTGTGTTTTCATATATTATTACTCTTTTAAATGTGCCAATATGAAAAAGACACTACAAAGACAAGAAATGCCACAGCTTTATCATTTCTGAGTTTTCCTCCTTTGGGAGAAGTGACCCCCAGAGCTTCAGGAGCTTTTAACTGCAATGAAAGCATCCTTTAAATGCATTTTGTTTAAAGACTAAATGATTGAAGACCAAAAGGAAAAAAATAGGTGAAGGTCTACAGGAGTTAGTAGACAGAGACTTGGAGTAACTGATGAAGATGTTCAAGAAAGTAGAAAGATGAGGAATTTCACTAGACACCCAGAATATATAACAAGGAGGTAGGTGTGAATCATAAAACTGGAAGATGTTACAGCTGAAATGGGTTCAATCCACGTGTGTGATAGAATAGACACAGTAGAACACAGACGCAGTGAACTGGAAGAAAACACCTTCAGATGGCGGCACAGAGGAAAAGTGATGGGAGATACAGAGAGGATCGTGGGAGAGATTTAGGATGACATGGAAAGGCCGGGCATGCTTTTATTTGGAGTCCTAGGAGAAGAGAGAGAGAATAGAACAGAAATAATATTTGAAAAATCACTGGCAAAAAATTTCGTTAAACCAGTGAAAGACATCAAACCATAGAATCAGAAGTGCTTCAAACATCCAACAGGAGTTTTCATAAAAGAGAAGAGGCCCCACCCAAGCACATCACAGATAAATTGCTGAGAAACAGAGATACAATTTTCAGAGCCTCTGGGGGGAGGGGGAGGCACACTCGGGCCTTCAAAGTGACAAGACTGACAGCTGCCTTTCAACTGAAGGGACAGAAGCCAAGAGTCGTTGGGGGACACCTGAGATGCTGAGTGAAAAAAGTGGCCAACTTAAACTATCTGATGAAATGATCCTTCAGGAGTGGAAGTCAGTCAGAGATGCTTTCAGGCAAACAGAAGATGTGTGCAGTGTGCATATCAGACGAAGGACACAAGTCCGGGGTATGTGAGGAATCACTGCAGACAGAGAGACGGCTGTTAAAAATGGGAAAAGACCTGCCTGGCACTTCACCACTGAGGAAGTCCAGACGGTCAGAGAGCATATGAAGAGGTGGTCCCGTGAGGGAGACACTGCCAAGGCCACTGCTCTCTGACTGGCGGCTGAAATGAGAGGCAGGCATTTCCGGATGCTGGCGAGCACGTGCAGCTCCTGGACCCGTGTTCGCTGCTGTGGGGTGCAGTCTGCTCAAGCTGTGTCCCCTGTGTGTCCCCAGGGAAGTCAGCGCCTGGGACCAGAAACAGACGCACAGAGGAACGCTCCCAGCAGCTTTACTCTTCACAGCTCCAGACTAGAAGGAGCCCAGCGCCATCAGCAGGGGGATGGATAATGAACTGTGGTGTGCTCACATGGGGGGTAGCGTGCAGCGGTGATGTGTGACGCACACAGATGTAACCACGAGAAGAAGGACGTGGTGGTCCGTGTGTCGTGTCACCATTTTATGGGCTCAGGCCTCGTGTGGTCATAGGGGTCCACGGGCAGACTGCCTTGGGGGTTTGGCTTGGAGAGGCAGAGGGACCCTCTTGGGGACTGGTGACAGACCGTGTGTTTTTCTGAATGTACTGTCTATACAAGTGTTGCACTTTATCGAGGTGCACTCTTAGATTTCTGTGTGGCTGTGTATGTTGCACCTTCAAAAATGGATTAATTAATGCAATAAGGAGAAAACTATTGAGTTGTCTGAGTGATGCAGGAAAGCATGTGTCTTACGCGGGCAGGATTTGTTTTGCAGAGAGGCACTGAAACAGGACAGTTCGAGAGAATTTGGAACAGTATCAGCAGGACACGCTTTCAGATAAACCTGAGAGGGTCTGTCCTGGTGAGGCCTCCTGTGGCTGAGGGAGGGTCCAGCGTGTTAAGTGGACGGGGTTGAGGGTCCGTCCTGGTGAAGCCTCCTGTGGCTGACGGAGGGTCCAGCGTGTTAAGTGGATGGGGTGCCAATCCATGACATGTCAGCACTTCGTTTCCCAGCTATGTGTGTCAGGCCCCTCGGGTCCATCCAGCAGGGCCTGGGTCCTTGCCCTTTGAAATCCAGATCCCTTGGAGGCTGCGCCTGTGCTCACAGTCCCTCATTGTGCCCTCACTGGCCTGCTGGGTGAGTGGGCAGGCCCAGGCTTGGGGCAGTCTCCAGGGGCCAGCCGGGGCGGGGGGTGGGGATGGGTGTCCGCTGGTGTGGTGCCTGGAGCTGCCCCCGAGGCCCTGCTGCCCCCGGAGCTGAGCCTGCAGAGGTCCTGTGCTCCTTTGTGTGGACCCCGGCTCGCTCCCTCCTCCCTTGCTTCCTGGCCTCCCCTCCTTGTGGACGAGGGTCTAGGCCTCCCTGCTCTTACTGACCGCTGGATTCCGTGATACTGCTGTCTCGGCTTTTCACCCTCAGTTCTCGCTATAGCTGCTTCTGCCTGGCCCAGCGGTCACCTGGGTTGTCTCCTTGCTGTGGGCACCCAGCCTGGAAAGGAAGGAAGCCTGTGGCAGCTTCTGGGCCAGGAGTGTGTGGACTAGTGGACAGAGGGGACACTGCAGCCTGCGGAGGGCGTGGCCCTGGCAGGTGCTCTCCCTGTGCCCACATGGGCCCCGGCAAGAGGAGGGGTGGCTCCGGGCAGAGCCGTTCTCCCCAGCAGGTGCACCCCTCGAGCAGAGGTGGTTGTGTCTTGGCGGGAGTGGGGAATCAACACAGTGGACGTTACACGTTAGGGTCACGCGTGCTCACTGGTCTTATTTTGTCACATCCAGAGAAGTAATTAAGGACTGCCATGGCTTTATCACCCACACTGACCATATTTGTGCTTATCCCCAGGCCCCTCCTCTGCCCAGAGGTTGTGTTTTGTTTTGGGTTGCAGGAAGGCGGGGCCCCTCCCTCAGTGCCTCCAGCCCTCAGGAACCCGCCCGTTTGCTGTGTTTCTTTCTTTGTCACTCTCCCGTGTGTCAGCACGGACAGGTAGCGCGTGCACGTGTTAGGCGGCATAAAGGAGGCCCGCACTAGGGATCCTGCCGGCTGAAGAGCTGGGGTCTGTCAGTGAGGTTTGTGACGACGTCACCAGAGGCGAGCTCAGGACGTATGCGAAGAGCACTGGAACTCCCAGGAGAGGTGCAGAGCCACAAAGTTAGGACAGTCAGTCAAATGGCCACCAAAGTCGCCACTGCCAGGTTGCCCTGGACACACCTGTCTGGCACCTGTGCCCAGGCCCCCAGATCACTGCCTCAGGTAGCACCTGGAGACCAGAATCTTCCCAATCCTTTGCCTTTCTTCCCTTTCCCACCCCAGCACAGGCAGATCTGGTGCCACCCCTGGGCCACAGTGACCCACGGCTGTGTTTCCCCTGGGGTCGTGCTCCCCATCCCTGCAGTTGGAGCCCAGAGGTCTTGGTGTTGTGGGCGTCTGTTAGCAGTCGGGGGATCTTTCCAGGTGGACGGCATCATTTTTATGGAAACAGCATTTTTGGATCCCAGAGTACCTGATCTGAACCATAGGCCCTGAAAGGCAGGGCAGACCCAGTGCTCCCCGACACAGAAGCCAGGGTGCTCTGAGGGTGTGCACGCACCTCGCTGCACACCTGCCCCGTGCCTGTGCTTGGGGAGCACACGGCCCTGCTCTGGGCCCATTTTCTGGTGAACATTGGGGTGCCCCGTGAAGTGCCTCCCGGTACCTCCTGACTGCCATCTGGCCTCCAACTGCAGGTATGACCTGGATGCGTGTGACATTCAGGAGAAGTACCCAGATTTATTCCAAGTGAACCTGGAAGTGGAGGTGGAGCCCAGAGACAGGCCCAGCCGGGAGGCCCCGCCCTGGGAGAGTGCAAGCCTGAGGGGGCTGAACCCCAAAATCCTGTTTTCCAGCCGGGAAGAGCAGCAAGACATTCTGTCTAAATTTGGTAAGATGCTCGTTTTCCAGACGCACTTGGAGGTGACCCGGTTCTGACGTCTGTGACCGCTGAGAGACGCTTCAGGGCCTGGACTGGCCCTCCCTGCGCCAGGCGCTGCGGGCAGGTCATGCATGGGACGCAGGGGCTCAGAGCCCCGTCTTGAGCCACGACAGTGGCTTTAACACGGGGCAAGGGGCGCGCCCGAGGTTCCTTACACTTGCCCTAGCCCTGGGGGTCATCGTGGGGCGAGCTAGGACCACCAGAGGGTGTGGTTTGAGTCCCTTGCTGATCCAGAGGGTTTGTGTTCTGGATGCACGTCCACTTTGAATGTGACCAGGGAGAAGCCAAGGCTCCGTGCTGGACCAGCGGGGCCACCAGCTTGGCAGGCTTCCTTCTTCTTGGCGGCCCCCGACTCAGCTGGTCTGTGTTGTTTCAGAGCAATTATAGGAAAGGCATGTAGAAAGTACACTGTGGGGAAGACTTAGGATTTCATTTGCTGACCACGTCATGGTTTTCTTCAGATTTTTGGTTTGCAGTATTAACATTTTCTTACATGACGACAGCTGAGTATCCCTGAAAACTGGGCGCACATGTGTGTGTGTATATCTGTGTACGTGTGTATACAGTGTGTGCATGTGCACTCATGTGCGTGCGGTGTGTGTGTGTGTACAGTGTGTACGTGCACACACTTGTGACCTGAGGCAGCATCTGCGCCCACGTTGGCACCCTTGCTGGTTGCGGGTGCAGGTCTCCGGGCAGTTTGGAGTCGAGCATCCGGCATGCGGCCTGGCTGACTGCAGCGCTGACACTTCCCAGCCCCAAGCCACGCCGCTGGCTGCTGCCGGCGAGGGTGGCATCCTGGCGCTGGGGCCCTGATGGCCTCCTCTCCCTGCCAGGGAAACCGGAGCTGCCCAGGCAGCCTGGCTCCACTGCTCAGTACGACGCCGAGGCGGGGTCTCCAGACACTGAGCCCACGGAGTCTGACTCGCCGCAGAGCAACAGTGCCGACACCGCCCACTTCCTCCACACACTGGACTGGCACGGTAGGCGCCTCCCGGGGACCCTGCATTTTGGCAGCGTCCTCAAGCCCAGTCTGCCGTATGGACCGGGGCTTGCTGGTCACCATTTGCTGCTCCCCAGAGGTCACATCTGGGCTCTAGCATGGAGCTGGGCCATGGGCAGCGAAGGTGTCTGTGGTGGCATGCACCTGGTGCCGGCAGCCTTGTCTGTGCGTCTTCTCTTGCTCCCCCCACCCCGCCTGAATGCCTCCACTTTGCTTAGCTTGTCAGGCCCTCTGCTCCCAGGGTCTCCCATGTGGCATCTCCTGCTGTCCTGCCTGTGAGGACTTCAGCCACATCAGCATGTTGTTTTCTTTTCAGAAGAAGAAGACTCAGAGACAGGCACAGACAATAACTTTATCAAGGAGAGTCCGTCTACCCTGGCCGAGGACGGAGGTGAGAGCGAGCCGTCTGATGAGGAGGCAGCAACCTTCTCAGCCGAGAGCAGGGACACGGCCGAGGAGGGCACACCAGGCCCGCCAGTGAGGGCACAAGAGCCAGAGTTGATTTTTGATTCGGATACACCCCAGGAGCCCGCGCTGCAGGAGGATGGCGTCGACCTCCTGGGGCTGCACTCTGAGGTGGGGCTGGCGCTCCCCGCACAGGCCTGCAGGGCCCCACCCAGCAACGCCGACCTGCTCGGCTGTCTCCTGGGGGCCCCCGCGGCTGCTCCAGGGGGCTCCCCAGGCGACCTGCTCGGCGGCGAAGCCCCCCCGCTCTTTGCAAGCCCTGCGCCTCCCCTCAGTGCACGGAGCACACCTCGCGAGGGGCCCGCCGTGGCCGGTACGAGCTTCCATCCGATAAGATTTTAGTAGAAACATGCACTAGAGCGAACACCTGGGAGGGGCTCCTGAGAATGGATGGGGGGACGGTCAGCACTTTGTCCCTCACAGCCCCTTGTGGGGGTAGCCCAGGGCCCACTAGCAGGGACGGCCGTGCTGCTGTGGTCCGACTCCCAAGGCCAACGCCCCTCCTGCAGTCACGCCCCAGGAACTGCCAGCCCTTCCCTCTCCTGGGCTGCCGTGGTCTCGGTGTTGTCCTGCAGTGGACACTGCAGTCTCAGCCTGGGTCTGAGGGGCCTCACATCATCTGGGATCTGCTCAGCCTGGTGGCGTCTGACGCCGTGGTGGCGGGTCGTTGTGGTATCTCGGTAGGACCTCACCTCCGCTGCTCTTGGTGTCTTTTTACAGCTGACCCCTTTGACCCTCTCCTGCCAACTGATCCAGACGCCCTGCCCAGCTCCAAGCCCGACCTCTTCGGCGAATTTCTTAATTCGGACTCTCTGGCTGCCCCGCCCGTGTCTTTCCCCTCCACCCACAGCGCCCCGCCCCCAGCCTGCAGCGCCGACTTCCTGCACCTGGGTGAGTGTGGCCTCTGTGCTGACGTGGGGATGGGGAGGCGGGCAGCGTGCTCACTCACTGTGGACCCTGGGCTGACCCACCGTGGCCAAAGGTCCCTCACCTGGGAAGGCGTGGCAGCGGGCGTCTGCTGGGTTTTAGGGGAGGATGGAAGGCAGGTTCTGGGGGCCTGGTGCACGGCTGTGGGTGACTGTGTGTGGAGGGGGTGGGGGTCTTTGAAGGCCCTCTCCGTTGAGTAGTGTGCAGACGCTAGTTCCCATCATTGGCCTGCCAGCGTCTCCATTTGCTGAGCCTGTGCGTCCTCTTGGTCAGTTCAGTGACCATGTGATGCGTCCTCTGCCCATGAGGAGGAGGAAGGCTGGTTGGTGTTGGCCAAGCCCAGCGCTCAGCGTGGCTCCCTCTAGGCCAAGGGGGTGGCCCCAGAAGAGCATGAGCACAGGCCTGCCTGGGGGCTCGCTCGGCCCAGAACACCTTGGGGCCAGCTGCACCAGGAGCTTGATCCTGGCCTCCGGCAGAGGCAGCTGTCCACTGTGCCTCCTGCTCACACGTGGAGGAGGGGGATGGATGGGGCTCTCTGAGGCTCCTGCAGGTGGGGCTTATGGCCAGCCTGTCTCCATGGGGTCCCCAGGAGGCTGTCTAAAGGCCATGTGCCCGCCCCCCACCAGGGGACACACCTCATAGTGTGCTCTCTTCCCAGGGGATCTCCCAGCAGAGCCCAGCAAGATGGCAGCCTCGACCAGCCACCCGGATCTACTGGGAGGATGGGATGCTTGGGCCGAGGCTCCGGCCCCTGCGCCAGCTACAGAAGGTAGGACCCCGGCCCCATGGAGGCTGGTTCCCAGGTAGAGCACCCGCTGTGGTCTGGTGTCTTTCTCTGAGTCACACATGCTGTAACTGTAACCCCTTTTCCAGAAAAGGGATGAGGGACAGGGTGCTGGGCGGGATGTGGTTGCCCGCACAGTGGTCGGCGTGATGGGGGTGCCCGGTTGGGCCTCCTGCCTCTCGCTCGACCATGGATGCGGTGGCGCGGCCCTCCTGAGGGCAGCAGTGTGCATGCAGCGCCCTCCACACAGGTCCCTGTCCTCATCTCCTGTGGGATGCCTGTGTTTTATGACATGACTTCGTGTTTCCATCCATGATGTATCTTAGTGTTTTCCCACGTCCTGTGGCTACTCTGACTTCCGAGGGACCCTTTAAAGGACTGCTGACTGGCCCTGAGGGTGTCGCAGGTCCGTGCCCTGTCCTCAGGGACATGAAGTGCGTCCACTTTTCACTTCTCTGCACATCTGTCCTTCTTTCCGTGCATCCGTGACTCTGTCCTATTGGAGATTTCAGCAGTGAGTTGCTGTCAAAGAAAGGCTGTCACGTTCACGAGCTTGTGTCCCCTCCAGCCTTTTACTGATCGGATTACCCAGGAGCAATCCTAGCCTTAGTCTCTCAGCAGAGTTGGATGATAACTTTAAAGATATAATTTTGCTAATCTGATAGGCCGTCATTTTTTTAAATTTGTACTTCTTCGTTATGAATGAGGTTGATTGTATGTTTTTGGTTTATTGTATTTCTTTTGAGAACTGTTTCATGTTCTTTAATCATTGTTTTGCTTAGGGAATTTATCTTTTTTCTATTAATTTGTAAGATCTTTTTCTATGTGAGAAACCATTATCTGTAATGACGGTAACACTCCATTGAGAATATTTACTCAGAGGCCTGTCCCATGGCATAGCGGTTAAGTGCGCACACTCCGTTGCCGCAGCCCGGATTTGGATCCCAGGCACACACTGACGCACTGCTTGTCAGGCCATGCTGTGGCGGCATTCCACATTAAAAAAAAAAAGTGTAAGAAGATCGGCACAGATGTTAGCTCAGGGCCAGTCTTCCTCAGCAAAAAAAAAAAAAAAAAGACTATTTACTCAGATATTTCACTGTCTTATACTTAGGATATTCTGAAGCTTATGTTATAATCAAGACTATTTTAAAGCACATTCACATTTCAGGTTCTAGGAAGTGGTATTACAAAATCAGAAGAATATGAGTATGTTTTGGCTCTTGTATGAGTTGTTGGGTGGTTTTCTGTAAGGATAGTAGGACTGGAGGCAGCTCTGATAGCATGGGTGGCTGTGTCCTGAGCTCGTGTCCACACGTTCTTTCATGTGTCTTCGTCAGAGCTCTTTGGGTGCAGACGCTGAACCAGTGGGGCCTTTAGGAGTACGAGGAGGGGGCAGCAGAGGCTGCATCTTTTAGTGCGGTTCATTCTAATGCCCTCTGCCCTTCTCTAGGCCCCTTCCCTCCTGGAGGCCAGCCAGCCCCTTCTGGCCCCCCAGCCAGCCGGACCAAGTCTCAGAGCCTGGACCCATTTGCAGACCTCGGCGACCTCAGTTCTGGCCTCCAAGGTAACTTGCAGGATGCGTCAGGTGTGGAGAGCGCCAGGCCTGCTCGTAAGAGTGTTTGTTCTGTCTGTCTGCTGGCCCTGCTCCCTCTGCCAGACTCAGCTGCCCAAGGTGGGACCTTTGCCTCTGTTCAGCGAGGCTCAGAGCACAGTGACCCCAGGAATGGCCTGTTTGCTCCCGTTACAGGGCTTGTGAACCAAGCTAATACCAGGAGTTGCTAAAACCGGCACTGGGCCTGCCACTCTGCAGGCGTCGCTGTGCACATGGGGCCGTCTGGGGAACAGGGTGTCAGCGTGGGAGTGGCGGAGCTGGCAGGACTCCGGCGGAGAACATGCCCCCACCCAGCTTCCGTGCCTGCCTCTGCTGGCCTCGAATCCCCTGGAGCTGATCCGACGCCCTGGGCACCCATGTCCCTGGGGTGCCTGTGGCTCCTCCAGAAACATGTGGGTCATTAACTCTTTAGAGACCATGAGCGTCTGAGAGCCTCTCATCCCATGGCACTTGGCTGGGCTGTGGAATTCGAGGTTGGAAGTGATGTCTCCTTGGAACACTTGTTCAGGTGATCAGGCCTCTGGCCGGCGGGCAGCAACGTCTCTCCCCCTGCAGCCCCACGCTGGCACCTGGCGAGCCTTCAGTTTGGAAACTGACCTTCCGAGGACTGGGGAGGCTCCCATTGTCTCTGTCCTTCCCTCCTCCTGACTTTCCTCTACTTTCTTGTTGCGTCGGCTCTCCTGTGTTGTGTCGAGGCCTCGTTGTGTTGCCAGCTTAATGAGTCTCAAAAGGTTTTCGCTCTTTGAATAGTCCTTTTTTTTTTTAGTAGTTCCTGGTGTTTTGGGTTGCAGTGTCATGCTGAGGGCATACCTGGAAGTTTGGGTTTGGCTTTGGCTTTCTGACCCTGGCTGGTCCTTAGGCTGTCTGAGTGCCGGGTGGGGCCACCCAGAGCTTCCTGGCCCTGCGTGGGCTGTTTGCTCCGAATCCTGTGGGGGAAGGACTTGTCGGGATCCAGGTCGCCTGTTCTCTGGATGGAGCCCGGCCCTTAGCTCTGCGCTGCAACCAGAGACCCTCTGTCACACCCACTCGGAAACCAGAATCCTGAATGAAGCCAATAGAACTGAAAGGAGAAATAGACAAACTCGAATTCTAGTTCGAGGCTGCAACATCCCTCTCTGAAGAGAGGGTAGAGCAACCAGATGAGGGTCAGCAGAGCAATAGAAGAAGCACTGTCAATCATCAGCGTCTCGTCAACACCCACAGGAGGGCACACCCAGCTCGTGCACCTCTGAAACCTCCACCAATGTGGGCCACAGCCTGGGCTGTAGAACACCTCAGCAGACTTAAAAGAATTGAAGTCATTCAGGCCATAGTCATTCTCTGACCTAACAGAATCAAACTAGAAATCAGTAACATCTGGTAACTGAAAGATCTTCAAAAGCTTGGAAACCGAACAACACACTTCTAAATAACATGTGGGTTATTTAGGAAGTCTCAAGGGAAATAAAGCAGTGCATTGAACTGAGTGAAAATGTGACACACTGAAACTCGGGGTGCGTGGTGGAAGCAGTGCTGAGAGCGGAATGTGCAGCGTGGTGTGTACTGGAGAAAGAGGAGATGTCTCAGCAGCTCTGTGAGCCCTTCAAGGTGCTTGAAAAGCAAAGTCGAAGCAAACAGAAGGAAGGAAATAATAAAGAGCCCAAGTAAGTGAATTAGAAAACAAAAACAATAAAATTGATTCAACAAAAAGCTGGTCCTTTGAAAAGATCAGTAAAATTGACAAAGCTCTGCTAAGACAAATCTTAAAAAAAGAAGATAACACAAGTTGTGGATATCAGGAGTAACGGGGATGTCCCTCAGACCCTGAGGCTTTAGAAGGGCAGTGAGAGAACACAAGCCACGCTGTGCATGCACGTTTGATGACTTACGTAGAGCGACGGATTCTCAAAGCCAGGCATCACTAACTCACCCAGTGTGGAGTAGGCAGTTTGAATAGTTCTGTGACTATAAAGAAATGAATTTCTAGTTAAAAACCTCCCAAAAAGGAAATCTCCAGTCCCAGATGGTTTCATTGGAGAATTTTACCAAATGTTTAAAGAATTCATACCAATTCCACAGTCTCTTCCAGGAAAGAGGAAGAGGAAAAAATATTTCCCAGTTCATTTTATGAAGCTAGTATTACCCTGGTGCCAAAACCAGACAGAGACAGCACAAAAAAGACAACTGCAGGGCAGCATCCCTCACGAATATAGACACAAAAATCGCGACAGTGTTAGCAGATAGAATTCATCAATGTAGAAAAAGAATTATACACCGCGACCAAGGAGGGTTTGTTCCAGGAATGCAAGGCTGGTTCAACATTCCAGAACTAGTGAACAGAATCCACCACGTTAACTGGCCAAACAGGAAAAGTCACGTGACCACACCAATGGTGAAGAAGAGGCATTTGACAAAGTTCAGTGCCTGTTTATTATAAACACTGTCAACAAACTAGGAACAAGAGGAGAACTTTGTCAGCTTGATGACAAGCGTCTACAAAACACTACAGCCAACTTCACACTTACTGGTGAAGGCCTGCACGCTCCTCAAGGTCAGTCAAGGTAGAAGGCCATGTAGTGCCATCAGGCGAAGGAGGAAGTGGAGGAGTTATACACACTGAAGAGGAAGGAATAGAACTGTTCCCACTGCAGGTGACGTGCTCGTCCATGTGGGAGATCTCAAGGAATCTGTGAAAACTTCAGACCCAAGGAGTGAGTTCAGTAAGGTTGCAGTTCGACACACAAACGTCAGTCGTATTTCTGTTCAATAGCAACGTGCACAAGGAATCCAAGTTAAAACGGTACCATGTACAGTCACTAAAAAAGAAGAAGGAAACATTTAAGTATTTCTCTAACAAAACACACGCAGGACTGGTATGTCAAAACTAGGAAACCAAACCGGGGGAAAGAAATCAGAAGTGAATGCAGAGACAAACTGCGTTCACAGGTCGGAAGACCCAGCATCGCGAGGATGTCAGTTCTTCCCAGGTCGATCTGTAGGTTCAGCACAATTCCTACCAAAAATCCCAGTAAGGATTTCTGTAGACACAAACTTCCTGTAGAATTCATTTGAAAAATCAGAGGAACTAGAATGGCTAAAATATTTCTGTGGTGGAAGAATAACGTGGGAGGAATCCCTCTGCCTGGCTACTCAAGCTACCAAAATCGAGACTGCCTGAGGTTGGCAGAAGGACAGAAACAGAGGTCACCGGAACAGAACAGAGGCCCCAGAAGTAGACCCACCTGAGTGAGACCCACTGATCTGGGCAGAGGAGCAGAGACCGCAGACGGAGCTGGAGCAATTGGACCTCCATGGGCAGAAAGTGACCTCACCCTAAACTTGACACCTCACATGTCAGGTAACACAGGATTGGCCATAGATTTAAATGTAAGATGTCAAACTATAAAGCTTTTAGGAGAAAACATGAAAGAAAATCTTTGGGACCTCGGGCTAGGTGTAAGTGTCACCTAGACCACAGTCCATGACAGAGAAAGTAGAAACGTGGACTTCATCAAAACTAAATCTTCTGCTCTGCTAAAGACTGTCAAAAGGATGAAAGCCAAGTACAGATTGGGAAAAAATATTTTTGAACCACATATTTGACAAAGAATCCTATGCAGAATATATAAGTACAGTAAGAACAAAACAAAAGCCATCCAGTTAGAAAACACAAGTCATGAAGAGACTCTCGAGCCCAGAGTGTGTACGGCTGACGCACACCCGGAGAGCCGTTGGGATACAGGGGGACCTCAATGGGCTGGCGCCCCTGGTGGGACAGCCAAAGTGAAAACAGTGCCCACGCCAAATGGGGGCGAGGCCGTGGGGAAGCTGGATTCTCAGCCGTGACTGGTGGGAGTGCAGGGGGTGTGGCCATGCTGGGGGACAGTCAGTCAGTTTCTGATAGAAGCACATGTGAGACTGCTGCTCATCCCAGAGAGACGGAGACGTGAGCTTCTACGGGGTCTGTTCACAGGTGTTCACAGCAGCCTTGTATGTGATTGCCAGCAGCAGGGCCAGCCCAGATCCGGGGTTGAACCGACGGTGGTGTGGCCCCACCCCAAGTGCTGCTCAGCAGTAAAAGGAGCAGGTCACGTGTGAGAAGAGCCCATCACAGAGGCTGTCTACTCTCTGATTCTGTTTCTCCAGCATCCTTAAACAGCAGCCGCAGAGATGCAGGACAGGTGGTGTCTTGATCTGGTGCTCATAAAGATCTGTACACATGGTAAAGTGGCACAGAAGTACGCACACGTGCACACACACCACACACACACACGCACACTCGTGTGCACCTAACAGCTGGATAAGCCAGTGCCGGCTGCCTGTCTTGTTGCTGCAGCCATGTGAGCTGGCCCCAGGGCTCTGGGGCTGGTGTGGGGGCACCAGGCACGATCTTGCAGCTTCTTGTGAATCTATTTCAAAATAAAAAGTTAAAGAACCGGCCCTGCATCTTGAGAGCAAGTGGGGAGGTGCTGCCTGTGCTCAGCCCCCTGGTGCCCCAGCCCTTGCGGACGGTCCAGCTATGGGGGCCACCTTGACGGCCATCCCCTCCTGGCGTCTGACGTCGAGTATTCATTTTGCGAGTGGGGGTTTTCCTGCATCTGTGTCTTTAAGTCCTGGAAGGAGCAGTACCCTGTCCTGGCACCTCTCTGGGCCAAGGCAGCTGTGTTTGATGCTCACCTGCCGTAAACTGTCTCCCCAGGCTCACCCGCTGGCTTTGCTCCTGGAGGCTTCGGTCCCAAAGCAGCACCCCCTCCCAAGGGTGGCGCTGCTTGGCAGACAAGTCGGCCCCCAGCCCAGGGTGCCCCGTGGCCCCCGCAGGCCAAGCCACCCCCCAAAGCCTGTGCGCAGCCAAGGCCTAACTACACCGCGAACTTCAGCGTGATTGGTGGCCGAGAGGAGAGGGGGGTCCGTGCCCCCAGCTTTGGTAAGTGCTTCCTTTTTCTCCCCGTGCATGACTTCTCAAGCAGGCCATGAAGTGGTTACAGTGAACTGCTGTTTTGTTTTCTCCGACTGAGAGCCCACGGCTGGAGGAGAATTTAATGAGACCCAGAGTCTGTTCTCACCCAACAGGGGCGCCTCTGGATGGAAGGACGTGGTTTCAGAGGCGTGGCCGTAGGTGTCCCCCTCGTTCCCGGCCAGCATGGTTCAGGCGGCCGGCGGGAGGGTGTCGTCGTGGGGCCAGGAACGAGGCAGCCAGTGTCACACTGTTTGGGAACCTTCTCAGCCTCCTCAGCTGCCTGGGCAGCTGGACGGTCTGCCCAGGCCTGGCTGCGGTGTTTGTCTGGGAGCGGCGGGCACGTCCCAAGTCAACCCCGGGAAGTGATGGAGATGGGCATACACTCAGGAGTGTTGGGCCCAGTGAACTGTGTCAGACGTTTTCCACTTTTCTCAGCCATCCTTCAGTCCTAAATGGTCGCTGAGTTGGAATTGCAGCTCTGAAGGTGTCAGGCGGGCTGTACCGCAGGTGGGGCCCATCAGCAGGCTGCCTGAGCAGAAATCAGTGTCACTGCCCCATTTTTAAGAAATGGAAGTGTCCCTGGCTTCTTTTCTCTTTTTTTGAGGCGTCATCATGGCGCCCCGTGTTCTAGGGGGTGGGTGTCGCCTGATGTGAATTGGTGGGCAAAGGAGATGAAGGCTGGGCCCGCATGTCTCTCGGCAAAGTCTCTGTTCTCTTCTAGCCCAGAAGCCCCGAGTGTCAGAGAGCGACTTTGAAGACCTGCTGTCCAGTCAGGGCTTCTCCTCCAAGTCTGACAAGAAGGGGCCGAGGACCATCGCCGAGATGAGGCGACAGGACCAGGCGAGGGACACGGACCCGCTCAAGCTGAAGGTGCGGGTGGCTCCTGCAGGGGCTCCGGGGCCTGGTGGCTGCCCAGAGGGTGAGAGCGAGGGCGGGCTGGGCACTCGGGGCACCTGTCTGCCCCCAGGGGTGTCTGGAGAGAGACAGTGGAGTGAACGTGGTGCAGATGCGGCCCCCGTGGGGTCCTGGGGTCTGTAGGTGGGGTCCCCTGGAGTCGTGGACGCCTTCACCCTGAGCGGGCCAGCAGCTCCCTCGTGGGCCCTCGAGTCAGACGCATGAAAGGGTCCTCGTCTGATGTGCTCGCAGAGACGGCAGCTTCTCTTGAGGCTCATCTGCATCTGTGTGCCTCTTGGAGGCGGGTGTGTGACCTGTCCTGACGAAGGCCATCCCCTGTGGCTCTGCTGTCCTCCGAGGGCAGGAGGCCTTCACGTCCTCCTTTCCCGTGAAGCGCTCACTCCTCTGGAGACCTCACCAGACATAACCCCTGTCAGCGCCTGTGCCCTCGGGCTGCTCAGCCCCGGAGCCAGCAGGGCACCACCCCTGCCCCCAGAGAGCAGCTCGGGGCCCTGGGATGACGGTGGCCCTCAGCCGGGCCCAGGACAGCAGCCTGTGCTGTCCTCACGGCAGGATAGTCGAGGACAAGGCTCTGCGGGCCACGCAGGCACCATCTGACAGGCCACCAGGGAGCCCGGCCTCTCGTCCTCACTTGGGCACTGGAGCCCCGAGACAGGCAGGGCGAGGCCATGATGGCGGGTCATCTGTCAATGTCCCATTGATGATAAAGGTCACTGGTTTCCATGTGCCATCTGTTCCCATGTGGTGTCTGGCCAGACCCGAGGAGCAGCATTGACTGCCTGGGTGGGGTCAGCACAGAAATTGGGATGGTGGGTCCGTGTCTGGGCTGAGTGTTTTCCAGTGGGAGCCTTGTTCCCTGTGATGGCGTGTGGAGCCGTCAGGTTGACGCACGGCGGGCAGAGGGGCCTCGGCCCAGGATGCCTGCTCTGCAGCGCCTGCGTCTCCCGCAGCTCCTGGACTGGACCGAGGGCAAGGAGAAGAACATCCGAGCCCTGCTGTCCACGCTGCACACCGCTCTGTGGGATGGCGAGAGCCGCTGGACGCCCGTGGGCATGGCCGACCTGGTGACTCCCGGGCAGGTGAAGAAGCAGTACCGCCGTGCTGTGCTGGTGGTCCACCCGGACAAGGTGGGCACCTTGGTGGGGTTGTGCGGGGCGGGGGTCCTGGAGGCAGGTCTGAGGCTGCCTCACCACACCGCCCCCGCCCCCACCCCCCGTCCCTCCCCAGGCTGCAGGGCAGCCCTACGAGCAGTACGCCAGGATGATCTTCATGGAGCTGAACGACGCCTGGGCCGAGTTTGAGAGCCAGGGCTCCCGGCCCCTCTTCTAAGCCTGCAGTGGGCGTGGCTGCACGTGCGGCTTGTGAGCCGGAAGCTGCTGGGCTCCACCGAGAGGGTCACCGTCGTGGCCGTGGCAGTGTGGGCTGACGCAGCTGCACCCAGATCGACGTGCCCGCCGCCCTCGGTGGACCCAACACCGTCCTTGGCACGAGGAGAGAAAGCATTCCAGAGCCTGGGTTTTTCTTCCTTTTTCTGTCTGAAAGGAAAAGTGTTGATTTACACTTCTGCCACAGTCGTCACGGTCTGAGATCATTCTGTTCAGTGACCGTTACCCTGCGAGCATGTCTGCCTGCTCGCGGTAGACCACACTGCTCAGCTGTCTGTGCTCTCTCGAATCCCGTTCACGAGCGTTTATGTCTCCTGTGTGTAACCGGCTGGCGACCCCTGCACATCATTAAACAGTTTTCTGACGGCCCATCTTGGCCCTGCGTTACCGCAGTGCAGGGACCTAGTCTTGGGGAGCTGCAGAGTCGGATTCCTTGACCCTGCTGGCCTGATCTCTGTGACCTCCGGGGCAGCCTCGGCTGGGGCCCTGGGCTGAGTGGTCTGAGGACAGAACGGACACGCCACAGCTCTGGGTCTGGGGGTCAGCCCTCACCATGGGCGCTGGGCCCGCCCCATGGTCACTGCACGAGGCCAAGGCACATGGCCATGGTGTGGATGCCCAGACGCTGGCCCGTGTGGGACTCTATGCCCCCTCTGTCCCACTGGGTCCCTCCTCCTTGGAGTAGGGCAGACACAGGGCCGTTGTTTTCTATAGTTCAGGGAATTCGAAACAAAAAACAATTTTCTTTGACTAAAGGCCTGTTGGAGAAGCGCCAACTGCTCAGTCTCGTGTGGGCAGAGGCGTGGCTTCTGAGGCTGCACATGTGCGGTCACCGTGGTCTGCTGGCTTAAGGGATACTGCACGTCAGGACAAATGAGAGCAATTACGTGGCTCGAGGTTGTGGTCAGAAGTGACTTGCTCAGCTCCCAGTGGTCCTGTCCACTGGCCCATCCTGCTCCTGGCCATTCGGCACTGCACTGGCCCGAGCCCTGGAGACGTGGCTTGTCCAGGAGCTTCGGGAGGCCGGTGGGGCAACGTGACCTCGACCCTCATCCAGGAGGTGGCAGCAGTGTGTCCGGGCCCTGCCCAGGCCACCCCTCAGTCTGGTCGGCACTGCAGGTTTCTCAGCCCGTGTGCGGTCTCTCCTTTACCAGAGTGTGAGTGACTGAGTCCACTGTGATGCCGAGAGGAGTTCAGCGAGTTTCTGGGATGAGTTATGGGGGGTGAGGGACCGGGGGGGCAGCTTCTGTTCCACCACTCGTCTCTCCGGGGGAATGTGCGGGTTGTCGACTTTGGCCCTGGGAGTGTGTAGACGCCCAGAACCCAGGCAGATGTCCTCAAATAAAGGCCTGGCCTCAGGAGCATCTGAGTGTGGTTAGTTGTGAACACTGACCGGAAGCTCAGACCCTGCCCTCCGCTGCCGGTGACCACATTGGTCCAAGACCCAGACCTGTGAGCGCCACGGCTGGACCCTCTGGGTGCCAGCGGAGCATGGGGCCTGCAGCTCCAGAGACTTCAGAGGAAGAGGCTCTGGCTTTTTGCCCCGACGCCCCGGGCCCGCAGCCTGTGTCGCCACAGGCATCTTGTGCCAGCGGACCTCACCCGGGGCCATGACCCCGCACTGTCAGCTGGCTCCACGGTCACAACACCGTGCCCTCTGACCCTTGGGCTCGGCAGCCCTTCCCTTCTGGCCCCCCTCATTGGCCCTAGGTCTGAAGAGGAGAGGGAGCATCTTTGCTGAGGTCCCCCATCCACCCAAGGTTGGGGTTGGGGTTGGGGTTAGGGTCGGGGCTGCCGTTGGGGGAGAAAGGAGGCTGAGGCGGGCCTGCGAGCACCTCACCCCTGTTCTCGGAGAATGAGGACAACTCGTCTGTTAGTATCCACTGCTACTTCTGGTTTTCAGTTGTTTTTAAAAAATAATGAGTGACCTAAATAGGTGCAGAGATTTCACATCAAAGTCACTCTGGGTCTCGGCTCAGGGTCTGGGTGGGCACCATGGGGAAGTGACATCAGCCTTCTCCAGGGGCGGGACCCAGGCCAGAAACCCCTCCCTCCCCTGCCCCCAGCCCCTCCTCGTGGGCCTGCAGGAGCCCCCACCTCTCAGGTCTCTGGCTCTCTGCGGTCCCCACTGGTCCTGATTTGCTGTTTTGGTGAGGTGGCGTTCCCCCTGGCCTGACCCACAGTGGCTCTTACCCTGCAGGCCACAGACCCAGCTGCTACAGAGACCAGGTGTGTCCAGTGTGGTGAACCCCTCGGGGCCCAGGGGTCTGGCGAGGGGCTCAGGTGGGGACCTGGTGCAGGAGGTGCCTCCTCAGGCTGCTTGCCTATCTGTCACCCCGGGACACCATCGTCCAGCCCGGGGCCTCTCCGGCCACCCCCCTGGCCTGCAGAGGACCCCTAGCGTGCACCCCAATGGTCTGTGACAGGTGTCCTCTGGGCCTTGGAGGGACACGACCCTGGTGGATGTCTGGCCCCACACAGTATGTCCTCCCACCATGCCCGCTGCCCTCGGCCTCCCTCCCTCCCCACCTGCCCCTAGACAAGCAGTGTCACGAATTTGCCCCATCTGTGGGGTTCTGGCCAGGTGTTCCATCCTGGGTCTTGAGAAACTGAATTAGTGAATTCTTGCTCGTCCAGCCATGTGTCTTGTTGCTCGATGAAGCATCTTGTGACATATTCTCAGTCCTGTGGCCCCTGCCACCTGATTCCTGCAGCTCCTTCGGGTGGCCTCTCCTTGGTCCCCGCAGTGAGAGTGCCCTGGGGCAGTGTGGCCTCGGGCACAGTGGGAGGACGAGAAGCCTGTGTTCTTGGTTCCAGTACAGGGAACAGCCTTAAACCCTGTCCCCGCCCGATTCCCAGCAAGTGCCCGTTTGTGGGAAATAAACCCTCATTTGTTTAGTGACTCTTTGCTTCTCCCACTGGCAGGGTCCAGTGTGGCCGTGCACCTCCATGGGCTTTCCCGCCTGCCCTGTGCAGACTGTGCAGGGCGCTCACACTCAGTCCCGCCCTTCCTGGCCCCGCTGCAGAGCTGACCCTCAGGGCAGTTGGCCCCAGACCCCAGGTTCAGGGGGCAGTGCTTGGCTGAGCCCACTCCCTACAGTGCCAGGCTCCAGATGGCCTGGGCTGGCTCTTGGTCCCCCCAGAGACCCTCTGGGACTTCGTCCTGTCCCTGCAGCCCATGGGGTGATGGCCTCGGACCTGACTGTGTCCCTGCGTCTGCAGACGATCCTTGGCAGTGCACCCCCCGCCTGGGCAGGGCGTGACTGTGGAGATGCACCCCTCACTCTGGGACCATGGGATTGGGAATCCTGGGCCCAGGAGGGACCCTGTGTTGCATCATTAAAGCCAGCTCAGACCCCCAGTGGGTGTGGGCAGACCCCAGGGGAGCCTTACTCTGCAGCCCCCATCCCCAGGTGCCCTGGGTGCTGCTGGGAGCAGCCCGAGCCCCACCCAGTGCCTGGCGGTCCAGCCCAGGCCTGCCTTTCTCAGTGACCACGGCTGGGTGAGCTGCAGTGCTCTGACAAATCCTCTTCCCCGAGAAGAGGTGGGAGCTTTTGGGGGGCACCTTGGCCACCTAGAGAGCACAGAGAGGATGTGCCTACACAGGGACGCGTATGCACATGCGGGTGCACTCACACATGTCTGGTGTTTGCTCTGTACCACCAAGGCCCCTGGTGTCCAGCCGGGCCCTGCATCAAGCCCCTCACTGTGTGGCCCCCACACCCAGCGCGGGAGTGTTGTCTGGGAGGTGGGTAAGGCCTGGACGCTGTTGTATCTGAAGGAAATCCTGCCATCTGGCATCCTGTCTGCCAGCTCACGCTGGTTGGGGTCCTCAGGGAGGAGAAACCCTGGAGCGGTGGGGGGCTTCAATTCTGCCCGGCCAGGTCCCCCGAGGCTGACCTGTGCCACAGCCCTTCTTGGCCAGGCATGGGGGCAGGACGGTGCCCGCTGGGTGGGAGCAGAGGACCCCCAGAGGTGGCCGGAGGCGCCGCCCACCACCCAGCTCAGCCCAGCTGCACAGAAACCCTGAAAGCCTCCGCCAGCTTGTAGTCGGCATGGCGGTGGTTCTCAGTACTCACAGTTAAGCCCGTTGTTCGTTTTTGTTGCACTGAAGCTAGTAAGGGGAACAAGGGTTTCCCCAGAGCAGATGGCGGGCTCCTCAGACGTGGAGGGCAGGGCACTCCCCAGGAGAAACCAAGTCCACTTGTCCAGCCAGGTTCACTGATGACCCCAGGGGAGGGACCCCAGGGGAAGGACACATGGCACCTCTCCTCCCCCCAGAGCAAGGAGGCGGTGTGCAGCAGGCAGGGGAGGGAAAGGGGAAAAGGGGTAAGGAGGGGTGTGCGGGGGGAGGGGGGGAGGAGGGGAGGGGGACCCCTCAGTCAGCAGGATGTGTTCAAGGCTCACTGCCAGGTGGACACTCCTCTGCCCACAGTCCCCTGTGCCATCCATCCTGGGGAATCCGTGTGGGCTGGTGAAGGGCCTCTAGGGTGCTGAGGGCCCAAGGTCGGGGTCAGGGTCGGGGGCCAAGCAGGTGGTCAGCATCAGACCTTGGCCCCCCACCCAGTCTCCATCCCCACCTTGGACCTCAGCTCGTCTGCACAGAGCCGGGAGGGAGCAGCCAGGTTGCTGGCCCCTGAGAGCCACAGCTGCAGAGGGCGTGTGGCCAGCATTGACCAAGGGCTGATGGACAGTAGTACACAGTGGACACTGTCCTCGAGGGGTGGGGGTGGCTCCACTCTGAATGCCAACTTATCAGGTGGTAGACCCTTGGGAAATGAGTGCCCTGTGGCCTGAGGCCCCCCGTGGGCACAGTGCAGAATCTGAGTGACAGACGGATCTTCAAACACGTGGCTGTCCGACCGTCCAGGGGGAATGGGAGGGAGGAGTCCCTGTCACTGCGAGCTTGCCAACGCTGGCAGCAAACAGGACACACGTCCCCACAGGGCACTGCCTGTCAAAGGAACTGTGGAGCCTGGCGGCCGTGTCTCTCTACCCCCACCCATCTTCTGGGCCTGGCTCTG